TCTATAAAGTTTTAAACTTTGCATATGTCTCACCATTTTTCACATATATTGATCAATTGGATTCTGATCGATGAGTCGTAAAATGCATCAAAAAGCTAAGACAATAAGAAACAAGATATAAGGTTTTCACGTTAGTTTCTCTACATGAATTTTGCTTAGAATTCAAGAACAGCAGTTGTTAGACTAGCAGAATTCAGTTTGGAACATACTTACGAAATTAAGTCGTTGAGTGGTGAAGTGGACTCCGAATCAAGCTTGAGATAGTGTGATGGAAAGCTATCTTCATATAGCTTATGAAATCAAATTTTCATATTAAAATATCTTAGTACAGAGATTGTAAAAATTGTTTCTTTACACTGTTATTGCAGAAAAACGTAAAAATGAAGGTACTCACATACTCTTAGCAATTGAGGGGTAAACAATGTTAGCTTAAGACTCACAATATACTATTGAAAAGGTATTTTTACATCGAATACAGAAGAATGGTTGCATATCAACTTTGGAGACCATAGAAACAAAAAGTGGCCTCTTTTGCTACTAAAATACAAACGCAGAGTAAGGAAGATATCTCACTGTTTTCACCATAACTTATGAATTTGATGTTCGTTTTGAGTGAAACCACTTGCTTTTGAAAGCTTTTCTACTACAAAAATCAAATATACAATTATTGGGTGCAAAAAAAATACGTTCAAAGGGTCTAATGTGTCTCACACAATGGCTATTATGAAGAAGGTTTCAAGATTTCTTATGGAAGAAGTGCAAGAACCTTGTCTCCTTACTTTGATCAGTGAAAACATGGAGAAAGAGAGGTTGAAAAGTGTTTGGTACCTTGATTTAGTGTCCATAAGAATGATCAAGGCTCCTCTTTGACATGCACAAATGGAAACAACTCCCTTTAGCACCAAGTAAGTTGCATTTTGAGGTTTTGAAAGGAAAAGAGTACAAAAACCTTGACTTTATGCATGGAGAGAAAATGGTTCCAAGTTTTAGCCGTGAAGGGCGTCAGTTTCCAACCTAAAGTTGCTGGAAAAATGAAAAGAATGGTAAGAAAGATGAGAGAAAGTGAGAGAGCTTTACGGTGAATGAGAAGGGTGTTATGTGACTCTCTTTTTTTTATGCATGTAAGGGCATTATAGGATTTTTCTTCCCTATTTAAAAATGAGATTACCATTAGGCCAGAGAAAGATTAGATTTTTTAAGGGTAATCTTGTCATTTTGTATATTTAGAATCTCTAAAAACTTTGATGGGGTAAAATTTTGCTTTACTAAAATTTGAACCAAAGTCCTCAAGACTCCAAGGACTAACAAAGGAACTCTCAGAGAATTGATGTAGAAAGTTTTTTTTTTTTTTTTTAATCTATCTTCTACATCAAAGAATCCTCCACTTTAATTGTGATGGTTGAAAACCATATAGAAAACAAGAAGGAGACAAGGGAAGAGGGTGTGATAGAAAGTAGTATTTTTTTTTTTTCACTTTTCATCTTCTCCCAATGACGTTTTACCTTCTCTGATGGTGCAAAATTAATGTTAAAGTTTGAATAATGTGGGTTATTAATTTTCTGGCAGAATCAATATTATTTATACATTCTTCTATAATATAATATTAAGAATCTTGTAACTCCTATGCTTAGAAAAGAAGAAACAATAACCATGGAAGTAAGATTAGAGTCTCAAGGCCATAATCAAAGGTATAAATACAAAAATAGAACAATTTACTTTTCTATCCTTTATAACTAAGATTCAATACAAGTTACTTATCTAGTTTTATTTTTGTTAGCTCCAATCCTAGCTATAGATTTACTACAAAGTCAAATCAATGGTTTTAAGTGATTTACAATTTGCTTATTTGAAAGCATTATTTTTCTAATTTCTTACTTTTTAAAGTAAATAAGAGGATGTTAGTCTCACTCTAAACTCTAGTGTTGTAACTATCTTATTCTCTTAACAAGCCATTCTTTCTTTATTATTATAGTGTGGAAAGCTCTCTTTTCTTGAAGGAGCTCCCCTCCTCTTTGTGGATGTTTTTTTCTTCTTTTCTTTAATGATTTTTTTTTTCTCTTTTATAAGACTTTTTACTTATATTAGGTAGGTCTTTTTTTCTCTCTTTTGTGAGAGATTCTTTTTGTCTAAAATACTTCCTTCTCTCTCAAAATTTCCCTTTATTCTCTTGCTATCTTTCTTTTTTTGTTGTCTTTTTAAATCAAACTTGCTAGAAGTTTATTAGGCCATATCATTCTTTCAAGTTGTTTCTTTAGTAGTTATTTTAAAATTTGACAATCTAGCATTTTTCTATGCTTGTACTCATCCAAAAAAAAAAAAAAAACTTCACACTATTCAAACTAATTTTTTAATTTCTAACTTGACATTAGTGGTTAACTTATTTTTGGACTTGTGCTAATCTAGAAAGAGAAAAAAGAAGAATAATCAAAGTTTTTTTTTTTTAATGATAAGAGAGATTATGAGTTTACTTTTTATTTTGTTAAATTTTAAAGTTTTAAAAATGATAAATTAATTTAGATGTGAGCATGCATGCTTGATTTTTATTTTTTGTGTATATGTTGTGCACGGTATAATGCTCTCTTTATTTAGCATTCTTTATTGTTGAACAATTTTTCTATGAAAACATAAAATAAAAAAAGAAGTTTGAGTACATAACTGTCTAATTATACTCATGACATTGTGTTATGTATGTCTATATAATGCCGAAGCTGAGCATATCCTTGTCTAACAGGTAGATTCGTGAGCTTGGGCGTAAGATCTGAAGACCAAACACAATGAAATAGTCAAACACCAATGGCGAAAGAACATAGCATTAGTCAACTGAAAACCTCTATTCTTTCTGTTGTCTTTTTATTTATTTTGTTTATAATAATTAAAGTATGGTAAGAGGGACCAAGAAAAGGTTGATCCCACGTGGAGATCACCCACATAATGTGCATTTTTGCAACCTTTTGCGTAAAGAGCCAGCTTTAACCTCGTCATCATCGTCGCGCCTCCACGTGGCCCCCAACCACTGGTCGGTGATGTTGTAGAATAGCAAATTACCAACTTTTCTTGGTTCGCTCATTTCCATTTCTTTTCTTTTTTCTTTAATGTAGTTTCGCTAATGTTAATTATTTTCATTTATATTTTAATCATGTAAATTAATTCATTAATATTATAATTTCATTTAATAATTAATAATAATATATCATATTTGGGATTTATATAAATTAATAAAAATGCATAATTTAAAAAAAAAACTATGTATAAAATATAAAAAACATTTTTAATTATTTATATATATATAACTTTTGAATCTATATAAATTAATGATATATGATATTTTTATTAATTTTTAAATGAAATTTATAAATGATGAATTTAATTTGAATGATTAAAAATTATTAAGACTAAACACATATACTTAAAATTAAAAGGAATATAATTTCATATAAATTAAAATATAAAGACTAATCAAATATGTTTTATTTTATTCCAGGATAAAAAATAAAATTAAAATCACACGCTCATTTCTTCAATGACGTGGATTTTATAAATGAGTTTGAATAATGGTTTACATGTTTTATCCAAATTTATCTGATAGTTTAAATTTATTTTAAAATTTAATGATAGTTAGATAGTCTTCTGAAAAAGAAATGTAAAAAATAAATTTAGTACTTTTAAAAAAATAAAAAAAATAGATTTTAAAAGCATAAACAGACTCATGTAACAAAAATGGTTACGTTTCTCGAACTTTCTATTAGTCTTAAACATTAGGTCATGAGCAGTTTAGGACTTTGGTGCTAACTTTTTTCTCCCTTTTTCAATCCGACTTTTGGTGCTAACTTAATGGAAGTGACTCCCTTTAAAAAGAAAAGTTAATGGGTGTGCCTCAATTATTTTAATTCTCTTTTACAATTTTATTATTATAAAGAAATTACTTTTTGTTTATCAGATTTTATTTTTTATATAAAATAATTTATTTTAAAATATTAAAAAATATAAAATAATAAAACAATCATGTTATCTCTCATTTGAGATTATTGCCTTTTAATTGGATAAATAATTATTAAATACACATTTAGTCTCTATACTTTATTATATGTATAATTTTAATTTTTTACATTTAGTTCTTCTATTTTCTAAATTATTTAAATTAAATATCTTGTTCCAAAACTACAGCAAATATTTAGTAAAAACATAACAAAACGTGTAATATATTGTTGATTAATACAAAATTAAAAAAAATTAATTAAATATTTTTATTATGTTTTATATATTTTATTTATTATTTTTATTTAAATAATTTATTTTTTGTTAATTCATAAAAAATATATCACACCTCTATTATATTATTTATTTATTAAATAAATTTTTAGAGGTAATAGATATAATTTAAACAATTAGAAAGTAAAAAATATATAAATAATTAAAACTAAAAAAATTAAAGTCACACATAAATTAAAGTATATAAACTAAAAGTACAATCAAGTCTAAATAATTTGATAAAAATTTCTTTTGATTTATGTCTGAGAATGCTGAATACCCTATAAAAACGTATGGATATTATTTTTTTTTTAAACCACAAAATAGTACAGAATTTAATATATTAATAATATAAAAATGTTAATTTTTAATAAAATTTAATAATTTTTTATGATGTGTATTATATATGTATTGAAAAGCCGTTAAATAAAATAATTTGAGCAAATTACTCTACTGTTTTTAAATTACTAATTTAACCTATACAAAAATAACCCAAAAGTCAAACATTATGACATTAATTTTATGTTAAGATACAACACTAAAATGTAGATCGACAGAAATGTTACTGTCTATCTTATCATAATATTCATTTTAATAGATATATATATATATATAGATCGAGTTCTATGTTGTTTTTATTGTATTTTTAATTTTTTTACATAATTATATTTTATTCTATATATAAGCAGAAGATAATGTTTATTGATTATTGAAGATTGGTGATTATTTTTGGCATGGCTGTTCTTTTAACTGAAGAGTTGAGTTGAGCTGATGTAATTACATAGGGGACTTTGTTAGAAAAGCATTAATGTCTCGTTGTCTCATGCACTCATGTCTTAAGAGCCAGGTTTTTCGAGTTCTTTTGATTATTCTGTTCCCATGCCCTTAACGTAGAGTCAAGAGTACCAGATCCCACCTCCACCTCCCGTTAATAAACGGCTCAACTGGTTACTAGAATGTTATCAACCAGTAGAACAAACAGCCGCCGTTAGCGCGTAGCAGAAGCGGCCGTTGCACGCCACTGCTAAACGCTTTTGACAGCGACGTGCCTCTCACTTTGTTCCTACGGTTCGATTCCTACGTTGGTGCTCTCTCTCTCTCTATCTATCTCCCTCTCTCTCTCTCTCTCTCTCTATCTCTCCCCCCTCTCTCTCTCTCCGTGTCTCTGTCTGCGGCACCGTACGGAATTCGGTACTCTGAGGAAGAGGGGGCGCCATTTCGATCTCAGAAAGCGATTCCCATTTTGCTCTTTTCCTTGTCCACTCTCCCTCAGGTATATTTATCGTCGTGTCTGATGCGACGCCGTTTTGATTGGAGTTGAAGAATGCAATGCCGTTCTTTTACTCCCTCATGGGATCCATCGTCAATGGATGAGTTTGTTGATTGATCTGTGATTTTGGGTTCTGACTTTTTCATGATTTTTTGATCCAGCTCAATTGTTGTATTTCGATTTAAATTTTGATACTGGTGGTGTGCGTGGATTCCTTGTGTTTTTGTTTGATTTTTATTTTTTTAGGGTGGTCTAGATTCCCTCGTGTTTGCTTTTGATGTTGTCAAATGTAGGTACTTTTGTTTCTTGCTGCTGAGATCATGTTGAATTACAATGTTGTTTTTCACTTGTTGATTGATCTACAGTTTTGGGTTTTGTTGTTTTGGGGAACTAATCCAGCTGGATGATCGTGTTTACTTGTGTTACGCATGAATTATTGGTGAATTTTGTGGATTTCTTCTAGTGTAAGTCTTAACTGTGGATTGTTCTAGATTCCCTGTTGCAATTATCGTCTCTATTGTACTTCCTGTCTGTACTTGATGCATGGGTCATCTAAGTATTAGTGTAATCCAATGTTAATCTTGTTGTGTGAAGGGTAAAAGGTTAACTTTGTTGATTGATCTTTGGCATGGATTAGTTTTTTTTTTTTTTTCTCTCTTTAGATTTTGTTATTTATGGGATTTAATCCGGCTGAATAATCTTATTAATTGTGTTATACATGATTTCTTGTTGAATGTTTGTTTTCTTCGAGCCTATGCCTTTGCTGTTGACTATTCTGGATCCTGGTTTGCGTTTGTTGTTATTAAATGCATTTCTTGTTTTCCCTTGGTGCAGAGGCAATCTAGGTGCAAATTGCTTGCATTTTATAGAATGCCAGGTACAAAATCAAGTCCTGTCAGGCATTGAGATGTTGATTTTGTGAATATATCTTTGTTATTCTGGTTGTGTGTGACTATTGATGAATATGGGTTTAGGAGAAGAACTATTAGTTCAAGATGATGAGAGGGGTAGAAGTATGGAGCCTGAAACCTCTGAGGATGAGTGGCGGAAGTCTCGAGCTAGATCTCTTCGAAGAAGAGCAATGACTGCTTCAACGAGACTTACATATAGTCTTAGGAAGCGTAATCCACGTGTATCCGATTATGAATTTGCTTCAATTTTCATAGAAGATGTACGTGATGCTAGTGAGGAAGTAGCTGTGAATTCATTACGTCAGGCTCTACTTACAAGAGATCTACTACCAGATTCCCATGATGATTATCATACAATGCTGAGGTAAATGAATGTCTCTTAGGAGTTTCTTTTCTATTGAGTGAGCTGTTTCTCTTTTAGCTGCTCAAATCACTTTACATATGCGCTAAATAAATAGAATGTTATGGTTTACATTGTTCATATCCTGTTGATTCATCTACTAGTGCTGCAGCTTTTGTTTAAGCTTGGTCAAGGAACATTAATCATGCAAAGGCACTGCGGGAAGCACGTTGTCTAGAGTGACATTTTGTTTCTTGTTCTTCACTAATTATGTGATTTTGCTTTCAAACTGAAGTAATCTCTCTCTTCTAAAGAGAGATCCTGATGGTGAATTATTAATATTAATGCTCATTGTAGAGATTTGGTAAATCAACCTTTTAGGCCCTGTTTGGTATGGTTGTCCATTTTAAAATCATTAAAAATTCTAATATTTTTTGGTTTCTAGTTATCAAATTTTAATTCCGAATCTTAAATTTTTAGGTGAGGTTGATTACATAAATCATACGATGCCATTAAACTTAGTCCAAAACCAATTCCAAACCTTAAATTCAAATTACACAAATTCCTACTTCTTAGTTTATACTTGTTAGTTATGAGAGTATTGGTGGAGGCAAGGGCCAAGAAAGGGGGCAACAATTATAGGGGTGGTGAACTCGTGGCAATGTGTTAGTGGTGGTAATATTGTCTATAAGACTGGTGGTAGTAACAATAATAATGAAACAATGGTAGGGGTGAAGGTGGTGACAATAACAATGGTGGTGAAGATGATAATAGTGATAGTGATGAAAATAGTCGCAATGGCAATGGTTATTGGTTGTGGTGGTGACATAGTAGTCAATCCCGGATAGCAATGCAGAGTGGTTGACCCCAAAAATGCTATAGCAGGATGACTGCTATTCTGAAGACAATCAAAACAAAGAAGGAAAATAGATTAACGAGTGTTTAGTCACTTGAAAAAGCTCTAATGCAAATGGAGTATCATCCAAAAAATTCTACATCTCATCAGAAATAGCTAGGGTTACACTGGAAACGAAGAAGACAAGACAACTGAAAAATGTCTACTCACAATAGAAATAAGTTGGGTTTCGCTGGAGATGAAGAAAACAACTAGAACTTGGCTGAAAATGGTGACTTGCACTAGAAAATGACGTCAAAGATGGAGGACGAAGCAAGAGAAAGAGAGACAGAGATGAAAGTAGGGTTCGATCCTAACTTGTAAAGACAGAGAAGCATTCCAATTTTCAAAAATATAAAAGGGAGGCAAAGTCTCAAGATTGTTTCCCTTAAAAAGCATTCCAACTTCTAGAAAGAGAAGACAAACTTGCCCTTTTTCCCTAGAATGAAATATCGGCCGCGATATGTGGCACGATGACCACTACACTGAAATATGACGCAATGGTGATGGAATAGCGGCACCTAGCCACTCCACTTCACACCTCTGTGATAGCGGCCGCTATGGTCGCTATTGACTTCTATGAGTGGTGGTGAATGGTAGTTGTGGTGTCGTCAAACATTGATTAGTGGAAGTGGTGACAATAACAACGGTGATGATGTCTTTTAAAAATTATGAGAGAGTTGAATATTTTTTATAACTAAAAGTCAAAGCTTTATTTTTTTTTCTAAAATTGAGGTAAAATTATTTTGAAATTAAGATAAATATCAGAACTCCGTTTTATTTTGATAGACAATAGTATCTTTATTAAGAAATACAAGAAGAAACAACCAACATTACAAAATAAAACACACATTCAACAGTTCTTTGAGGGACCACCCCTCCTAAGCCAAAGGCCTTAACCCTCACAATTGACAAGCTAACCTCTCTCTCTTCCTCCCTCTTATTTATAGAGGCCATATGCCTTATTTCTTCTACAATCTCAACTATCCCAAATTACTAACAAATTAAGGCTAATTAACTAATATATTGTAACTAACTAACTAAGCTAACTAGCTAATATATTATAACTAACTATTAATAAGTCCCTAATTAACATCATAGCTAACTAATAACTAATGGGGATTACATAACATAGTTGAACGTGTTTTATTTTGAAATTTGCATCGAAAACTAAAATCTGAAAACTTGCAACTACCCCAAACTTAATGGATTATTTATCCAAATTTTCATTCTTTGTTGTTCGAAACCTTTTTTCCCAGGAGCTTTTGGCGAGAATTCAAATATTTTGTTTTATTTTTTATCTAGACAAGTTTTTATACTTAAGAAGAATCTTTAGATGAGCGGTATGTTACAGGGTGGTGATATTTTAATGCTGCAGGTTTTTAAAAGCCAGAAAGTTTGACATTGATAGAACAGTCCAGATGTGGGATGATATGCTCCATTGGAGGAAGGAGTATGGAGTAGATTCTATTTTACAGGTAAAATGTCGTAGTTGTTTGTTTTCCTTTTACTTATTCAAAAGCCATTAGCCTAGATTTTCAATTAACAGCCACCCAAAGCTGTATGTAATTCTAGTGAGGAGAAATCTTACTTATATCCCTTTTGGAAGATTTTCCGTTTTCCCAGTATTATTTGTTTGATCAGGAATTACTTCAATCTTTCCACCGCTGAATGAACAGTGTTACAATAAATAATATGTAGGATTTTGTATACAAGGAGTATGATGAGGTTCAGCGTTATTATCCTCATGGTTACCATGGTGTGGACAAAGAGGGCCGACCAGTTTATATTGAAAGACTTGGCAAAGTTGAACCCAGCAAGCTGATGAATGTCACAACAGTAGATCGACTTTTAAAGTATCATGTTCAGGGATTTGAGAAAATGTTTAAAGAGAAATTCCCAGCATGTTCTATTGCAGCAAAGAGGCATATAGATAAAACAACAACAATACTTGATGTGCATGGCGTGGTAAATTCTATGCTTTCAACAACATATCTGAATAGCCAAAACAGCATTATGTGCAAGTCTAAACTTTTTATTGCTTGGTATATTTTGCAGAATTGGATGAGCTTTAGTAAACTTGCTCATGATCTCGTTATGCGCATGCAAAAAATTGATGGTGATAACTACCCTGAGGTAATTAAATGTTATAGTAAGTTGAATTTAATTTAATTTGATGAACAAATCATAGTTTATGGGCTTCCACTTTTTGTTTTGCTTTGGTGATATTTAAAATGACAATATCAAATTAAAGAATTAAATTTTGATGTCTTTTATGGAGAATTCTTAAAAAACAAGAACGACAAGTATACAAGCTTATATTTGTTTGTAAATAAAGAGGAAAAGGAGACAACCCATTCAAGAATTTAATAGGAAGTAGGTCTTTGTGGATGTTTGTGTGTTATTTTAATTCCTAAGTTCAGTATTTATTTGGTTTCTTCTTTCCTTGTACCGTTCATGTTGTGTTGGGTGCATGCATGTAAATGCACTCAAGTACATGTAGGAAAGGAACCTGAATTAGGGATAGGATACAATCTGCAATTGCAGCTATGGAACCTGTGATACCCATCCCTAACATACTACTCACAAATAAAGTAATACTTACTATGTTCTGCTGCAGAAACAAGACTTGCCTTTAGGTAATTTTGGGTATACCGCTCACTTCTGAATGTGCCCTTTTCTTTTTCAGACATTAAACCAGATGTTCATTGTTAATGCTGGTAGTGGGTTCAAGCTACTGTGGAGTACTGCAAAAGGCTTTCTTGATCCAAGGACCACAGCCAAAATACATGTATATATCTATCTCTGTATGTTTTGACTTTAGAAAGGAATGAACATATTATAAATGATTCATGCTGAATTTACAGGTTTTAGGCAACAAGTTTCAGAGCAGATTGTTGGAGGTTATAGACTTAAGGTTTGTTTTTATGTTTGTGCTGTCTCAGCTAATTAAGTGCTTCTATGTCTGAAACTCATTATGGAAGTATTCTTTGTTTCTTTCAACAGCCAACTTCCAGATTTCTTGGGTGGCAGTTGTTCATGCCCAAATGTTGGAGGGTGTCTTAGAGCAAACAAGGGACCTTGGAATGATCCTGACATTTTGAAAGTATGGTATTGTTATAACTATGGCTCCCATATTGATATGAATTCACATTTAAGAATTATTGCTCAATTTGCGGATAATAATCCCTTGTTCTATGTTCTATTACAGCTATTACATTCTAGAGAAGCAATGAAGCTTACAAAATTTGGAAGTTCTTCTGTTGCTAATGAAATAGATGCGAATTCATATGCCAGCAAGGTCATACATAAATATATTGCAAGTGAAGTATTTTGTTGTACAATTCACAAGTCTCATTCTTACTCTTTTGCATGATGTTAAGACTTTACACATGATTGTTTCTTCATAGGTAACAAGAACTGAAAGATCTGAAACCGTATCCGCTGGATCATCATCACCAACACAATTGAGTCCTTCAGCCTTCATACAATCTGTTCCTTCTAGTGAGAAAGTGAGCTTTCTATTTTCCTTATTTTTTATTTTTGTTTCTTATATTTTTTTCATAGGTTAGAGTTTGAAATCCTTAGCAGTTTTTCTCATCTCCCAAACAAGAAGCTTTACTGACTACTACACATTTTATATTTACCCTTTTCTGGAAGTATTTTGCTCATGTCATGTGCTTCTGAAAGGAAATGCAACCAAGATTATGAATGATTTATGTTGTGACGTAGAGTTGACAATAATTTGAACTCTCCAGCTTGCTACTATCTAGTCCTGTTGATTGGAGTCATAGGCCAGTCCTATGTGAATATTTTCTCTTACTGTTGACAGCCTCTGATATCTTAGTGCATTTGTGCTAGTTGTTGACTTTTTTATGTACACTGCAAGTTCTATATCATCATTGCAGCTTTAAGCAGACAGGTTCATGGTCGTATCAAGTGTCTTTAGCATCCTGTGTCATTTTTTTATTCATATGCGCCTTACTGAAAGACTTCTAGAGGTGGAAATTATGCACTAGAGACCATGAATTAATTTTGGTGCAATGCAAATTAATTAACCAATGACATACAATTAGTCTCATTCTCCATCTGCTTAGTACTCAACAGTGTTTGATTTTCTTTCCTCTTTTATATAAGACGTGTACTCTTCTTTCTTCCAGATTTGGATCCTCTAAAATCGAATGTTAGCTTTAAGTGGTACAATGCAGAGTTTATAAAATTTGACAAAAAGGTCAATTATGTAGATTTATTCTTTGGGTAGAAGCACTGGGATAACAAAATTGAAATTTTGAGTAGCTAGTTTTTCCACCAGTAGTTATCACATCTTTCACTTCGTCTGATTAATCAAGACCGAAACAAGTTTCTATTGGAAATTGGAGTTTATTGCCCTATAGTTTAATATTGGCTAGATTACAACCTTTTGTTCATAAATTTTATTTTGTCTTTTGTGCCCAGATCTAATTTTTGCATCATTTTGTTCCGAGCTGACTTTCAACTTCGTTAAATTTGTGTTATGCTTTCTGTTTTTTGGAGTGAGTGTCCCTTTGTAATAAATTCTTCTTTTATCAAAAAGGAAAGGAACATGTTGAGATCCATACACCTCTAATTAACATGGCATTAAGTAAATTAGAAAGCTGCTTAATGCTAGCCCACTTTTTAAGAAAATAAATCAAAATTTGAAAAGAAAAAATTCAATTACATAAAAAATGTTGTCTACTTGATATCTATAGAGCACTTGATTTCATTTTGAAAATGGACTTGTAAAGTTTATAATTTGAAAGGAAATATACTTAATGCTTGGTTATTTTAAATCAAATCTAGAATACTAAGAGATCTTGGTTTTGATTCTTATCAGTAGTCCATCATTGATGTAAGGCATTTTTGGGTAACACTGCAAATTCTCGTTGGGATAAATAGCATGTGCAAACCAAAAAATGGAACAAATTCCTCTCCCCCTAAATGTACATTCACAAAAATAAAAACCTAGAATCAAGAAAAATCTAGAAGACAGAACATTTGAAATCTCAAAAGTTACTGTGAAAGACTTGCAAAAGTGGGCAACTACCCATGTCAATTCACCATGAACTAAAGTTTTCCTTGTTATTCATTTCCTTACTCCTGATTGTAAGGCCAAGGAATGCATTGGTAACCCTTAGCATATTTCAGTGAAATCAAGACAACTAATTCTAATGAAAAGGACTTAAGTTACTATAATTGTAAAATATATATCTATATATACACTCCATGTCAGCTTCGGATCATGGCAGGAATAATTCCAGCATGGTGCTACCAAAATTATCATTGCAGATGTCGAAACTGTAGTCTGAAGGTATGCGATTTAGGGAACAAAATGTGGGATGGAAGGCAGCTGTGGACTCTGCTATGAGTATACATGCTTGGTCTCTTTTGAGTTTGTCTAAATACTCATTTTAATATCAATTTATGAAGCTTAATGGTTTACTTCTCCAAAGCTATAGATATATGGTAAATTCAAGAAAAACATTGGTTTTCTCTCTTTTTGAACATTGAGGTTCTGCATCTTACTTTTATCTTTCTGTTTCTCTTAATAAAGTTGTTAGTGAACACTTTCTTGGTTTCTGCATCAGCTTAGTCTGTCATTTGAGATATTTTTTGTGCCATTTTTAAATTTGAGGATAAACTATCAAAAGAAATAGATTTCAAATAAAATTGGATGTCTATACCTTTAATATCAATTGGTTATTTTTATCTCAAGTTTCTCTGAAAAATATTGATTACTAATAAACCACCTTCTTGGGCTCCAAACCAGTTTAAGTCTGACTTGTAGGTTGATGGAAACATGTGTAATTAATACCATAGATGCCAAATTTAAAATTTTAGGATATGATTATACTTTAAACATAACTGAAAGAAATAAAATGATGTGGAATAAAATTGGAAGTCAACATTTGCGACTTTGGGTAAATAGGTTTATTAAACACTTAGTCAGTGAGCTCTTGTCGAATGAGAGCTTATTTACAAATTTAACTATCAAGCTTGCTGAGTGTATTTGGTTCAACTTATTTTATCACTTTTTTTATCATCTTTTTGAGTTTTTTAAAAGTTAGTGATTATTTCAAAAATAATCTTTTACCAAAGATGCTGTGAAAATTAAAAAGAACTTATTTTGATTAGTTTTTCCATGAAACTTATTTAAGTAAGCTAAATAAAACTTACAAAAAGGTCCTAAATTACTTCCATAAACCCAAATAGGTTATTTCTAAATGTCCCTGAGAAGACAAAAAAGAAAAAAAAAACAAGGGGGAACTTTTCTATTTCTCCTTTTGTGTGAATATAGTACTTCATCTTTGAGGTTTTGTCAAAATTTTGGTTATCTGCATTGCAACTCGTGATATGGAACAATATTGCAGAAAAGGATGAGAGATTGTGCACCTATTGGCAACTTGCTTGAGCCAGTCAATGCTGCCAGAGAAGTTGGGGATGTTGATTCAACAAGTATGTGTTTCCTCAGCATGTCCTTTTGTAATTAGGGGTTGATATGTGTTTATTCCTTTTATAGATATTCATCTGTAAATGATGATAATAGAACTCGCAACATTACTTGTGAACAATCTTGATTTACATACCTTATTTGTGCTGAGAGAAAATGAAAGGAGAATATGTAGTTAAATTTTTTAAGCAAATTATTTCAATTAGTCCAGACCTAACCAAGTCACATCACACATTGAGCTTCTTGGAGTAGGCCAGGAGAGGATGGAAGTTACTTGGGTCCATCCTCCTTCAAAAACAGGATTGACATTTGTTGCTTTGTTTTTCTTTTAGTGCTAGAGACTGATTGAAATTTTAGTATGTATGCTGTGATATTTAATATTATTTGTTGCTGAAAGGTGTATGTATCTCACAGCTCGATCACTTGTTTCAGCCATTTGGACTCTTCATTTTATTTCCTTATCTAGTTAGGAGAATTTCTTATCCTGCACTGATTGTTAAAGTGGTGCATCTGTTAGGTGATTCAAGCAACAATTTTCTGAGAAGAGCACCAGAGAAGCCAATTTCCTATATCACAAGTATTTTGGTTCAAATCACAGTGAAATTTTTGACTTGTATTTACCTAGTATTTGTGGCACTGGGGAAATGTTTTGTGGTTCGCTCTGTAGACAACCAATCAGGAAGCAGTCAGTCAGCACAATCCATTTCCCGGGAACAATTAATTACTCCAGCAATAAAAGAGCCACTTTGGCAGAGGTTGCAGAATTTAGAGGCTGTAGTAACTGAGATGGCCAATAAACCTAGGACAATTCCTCCTGAGAAAGAGGATATTCTTCAAGAGTCCTTGAGTCGGATAAAGTCTATAGAATATGACTTGCAGAAAACAAAGAAGGTACTGCCAGTCTCCTACTATAAAATTGATCACTGTGAAGGTCCTATTATTTAACATTACTGTGTTGATTGGTTTGCTGCTCCATGTTAGGCACTGCTGGCAACTGCCTCAAAACAAGTTGAGCTTGCTGAGTCATTGGAAAGCTTAAAGGATAATAGATTTGATGTAAGTTGCTATTGTCCCTCACTTTCTTTTTGAGAACTCAATATATAAATTTAATAGACTGTCTTATGTCGATCTGAGTGCAAACCTTTCTGCTCATCTGATGCAGAACGTAGAATTTAACTTGGAAGATTTGTTTTCATTTATTTCAATTCAGTGACTGAAAATCTTCTGCAATAGGGATTGTTCTTGAGTACGCAGACACATAATAATTCCCTTCTACACCCCATCCTCGTGGTAACAATTAAAGAAGTCGTTAAATCACACTATTGGGCTCTCAAAAATATATTGGAATCATAAATGCTAATTTGGATAGGAAACCCTTCCAACTGGGATTACAACTGTTAGAATCCCAAAGTCAAGCTACATACCCATCACCATCATATTCTCTTACTTTGACATTTCAATATATTTTATTGTTTTCAAAGGTGTTCCCTAGTCAGACGATATAGAAATAAATAATCTTTTTTTGATGATTTTTCCCTTCTAGAGCTTCAGTTGAATGTTTGTATAAAGTATATACAGATTATAACTCTTCTTAAAATACAGGGGACGAACTCATGTTGGCCTAAAAATAGTAAATGTTATGCTCCAGGAAGATGAGTATTTGCAGAGGTTGCTAGTAGTCCATTGTTTTTGATACTCTACAGCAGAATTACTACCAGAGAACTTCTATTGGCTTATATAAAGGAATTAGTCTCAATTCTCATAGGTGACTTTCCTTCTATTTAAACACAATTTTGTACTCTCTCACAGACTCCCTAAAAGAAAAGTGGTATCTTGTAATATCCATTTCTTTTCAGGTTTGAGGAACGGGCTATGGGGAGTAGATAGGCCCAATGTATAGCAGGCAACAACAAAAAATTTATTTGAATTGTGGACTCCCAATTACTCCTTTTCAATGTATAACAGAGTGGTAACCACATATATTTTCTTATTGGCTTTTCTGTACAGAGGACACAGATACAAAGCATGTTACTCAAGTTCAGATGTATTTTAATACCAATTGCATGTATGCATAAAAGGAAACATTTTCTGTAATATATTGTAACACATGGCGAGGGCATAACATTAAATTTTCGATTTTACTAGAGGATACGATATTCTAAACAATTCCTAGTTTTGGATAATTTTTATCACTCTGGTTCTTAGAGAAATTTCTTTTCGTGGACTTTTTATGATATCAGGTATCGACAATTTACTAAGCCATTATTTTCCGTTTGCAAGTATTTCTTTCCTTCTAATTCAAAATTGGTAGAATCAACTAAAGAATCAAGTATGGAGTGATTTGTGGCTAACAATTTATCCAAATAATGAAATAAATAGAACTGAACTGAACAAAATAAGTTGTGTAATTCCTCATAATTATAAAAACTACTGTAATTGACACTTAAATCGAGAAAATGTAAGACAAATACTTAAAGGGTCTTACGTGTATTTTAAGACCGTTGGTTATTCAGAAGCTTATAATACACCTATTTAAGAGTTTAGTTTTAACTTATAAAATGTAAGGCTTAGACTTTAAATTTTTCAGTCCAAATCTTATCTATGCTTATTTAGTCCAATTCGATAAAATTTGATGCCTGCTAATCGCAGACACCATTTTATGATTTGAATTAAATTTGACCCTTCTAAGCCCAATCCACTAAAGTCTACCACCCATAAGGAGTAGCCCAAATGGGCCCAAAAACCTATTTTACTACGTCTAATACTGTCATTGCAATTTATATTTATCAGCAAACATTCCCCTAAATCTATTGAAACTCATCATTCACCGTATTCAATGCCAAATCACTAATTATTTTTAGAATTTAATTTTTGGAACGTAGTAAATGCACTTTTCAAATTTTATTTTAATAAAAAACTGTTAAAAAAAATATAATTTTATGAATTTATTTTAATAGATTCAGACTCTTTTTTCACAAAACACTATGAGGATAAAAAAAAATCATTCAAAATACTCATTCAACAATCTAAATCATAAAGATTTTGACACATGACAGTCTTATTATGATCTATTATTTTTTTTTCAAAAAGTATTACTGAAAATTTGTCAAGATGATAAAATTCAGCACTAATTAATCAAAGAAAAGGCTCAAACTAGAAAAGATTTAAAATCTTTCTGTGAATAGTTTAGTTTACCAACTTGTCCAACCAAAAATAAAAAATATTATCACAAAAAAAAATAGAATTTCAACAAAAAGTTTATAAAAAAAATATTCTCATCAAGAGAAACAACCTTAAAAATAAACTGATGATAATATTATTAGAAATATTCCCAAGAAACTTAGAAGCAAAATTGTTTGTTATAACTGTAGTAAACCAGACCACATTAGCAAATTTTATTTTTCTAAAAATTTTATTTTATTTATTTATTAAATTATTCTGTTTTATTAACCTTGTATGCATTTAATATTTATGCTTTGACTTTGGTATTCTAAACATTTTAATTTTTATCTTATTTATTTTAAATTTATTTTTTTATTTTTTTATATTCATTTTATCTCTATGGTTCAACCTTCTATATTTTGAAAATTTTTATTTTTTATTATTATCAGATTATTTATATTTCTTTTAACAATCAGACTAAATCAAAGTAAATTTTTTGGTACAAATTAAATAATTTAATATTTTCCTTTTAAAAAATTATATCTTTATTAAATATATACTAAAAATAAATATAAATAATCAATATCATAAATAATATAATATAAATAACTAAAAGGAGAACTAAATTTATTAAATATATCATAAATCCGTACATGTACCATTATAAATTCTCCTTCCACTGTAAGCATTACATGACACGTTTCACGCTGTAAGTGACACATGATATATTTTTTAATTTCTAATCTTTCATTTTTTAAATTTATTATTTCATTTGATTTTCTTTTTTTATCTATATGTTTCTTCATATTTTGTATTCTATTTTGTAATTTTTTAATATATTTTTATAGTTACTTTTAATTTTTTCAATAAAGTATAAGAAATGCAATAATTTTTAATGAAAACTATTACTATAGATGTTTATACATCAAATAGAAAAATTTAAAATATACATTAATTTAATACTTATCGAATATTTTCTACTTTGACATTCGTTTCTTCTTATCAATTCTGATAAAAATAATACTAAAATTAAAATTTAATTGAATTTTGTAAATTTTGGTAATAAAATGACAGCTTTGTGTTAAAAATGTTAAATACTTCAACTTAATAAGAAAATATTTATTTCAATAATATTAGTGAGTGAATATAATTTTTTTATAAATAAATATAAGAGAATAATTTTTTTCCTTATACTCTGTCATACTTCTTTTTTATGAGACTGAGATTATAAAAAAAAGAAGAAGAGAGATTATTAAATTTATTTTCTTAATTGGGAATTGATTTGAACTTAAGGCATATAATATGAATCAATTTATTTGTAAAAGTATGTAAACATAATTTATTTTATTAATATATTATTATATGTATTTAATAATTTAAATTTATTTAATACTTCAAAGATTTATACTATATATTTTAACTTTATTATACCCATATTGAATTAAATATATTTTAAATATTAAATACATATTCTAGTGTTACTTTTGTAAATTGTTTGGAATAATTTATTTATTAAAATTCGGTGTAATATAAATAAAAACCCATTTAATTTGATGATTAATATATTCTAAATAATGAATGAGATAAAATACATATATTACACGTTTTATAAATCCGTACATCATATGAGTATAAAATATAGTTTAATAAAAGAGTTTAAATACACTGAACTGCATGTGATCTATTGTACAATAGATCGATAGTTAGCAGAAAAAAGATCACGTGAACAAAAAAAAAAGAGAAAAAGATATCAATGGTTAGATCTAAATCATAAATACATTAATTTAACATTATCTTATTGATAAAAAAAATATAAAATGAATTAACTTATTATATATGTGTGTGTTTTAAAAAACTAGCCCTCTAAGAAATTGAGATCATAAAAAATTGAAATACAAGCAGAAATTATATTTGTTTTGTTTTGTTTTGTTGTAAATGGTCGTTTTGGTTTGAAACTTTCGGTCTGTCAATACATAACAGATAAATGGGAAAGAATAAATTTGTTATTTATAAATTTGAAAAGTCATCTTTAATCTTATATTATATTTAAGGTGTGAGTGTATATATATATAATACCTTTATCATTTATATTGTTATAAGAGAGTGAAAAATTAATTTGAAATAAAAGTTACTTAAAGGAGACTAATAATAAACATTTAGAAGAGAAAATAGAAAAATTTCTTATTTAAATTCTCTAAACTTCATTTAATCAATAAACCAACACCATGAAAAGGTATCCAAAAGTTTAGAGATTATGGAAGCAACAAAAACATCTATGAAGTCCCTGCATTTAACAATCCTTGCGTGAAATGGCAAGGCTTTAATACACTCATAAGTTAAACATAAACTCAGATAAGTAAAGCAGCAAATTTGATCTTCATTTTAGTAAGGCATGACCAAGCTTTCAACAAAAGTCCTGGGAAAGAGACAGAAAACATCTATGTCTGTGGGTATTATTGAGCGTTCTAACTTACCATTCCCCTGGTTATTCACAATTGCTACCCATTCAGGAACAGTAGCTGATATAATCAAGACATCACCATTCTTAGACATGCAAAAGGGTATCATTTTAGGAAAATTTAAAGGACTAATTTGAAGATCAAAATAGCTAACATTCACCAACTGAATCCAAGACTTGTCATCTCCGAACTTCTTCATTTGTCATATGATAACATTGGTTTGGTTATAATCTTGCCAAACACACACAGAGTCCCTCAAAATCACAAGACTTGGCTCCTGAAAACCACGTTGATCATCATTCAGCAATAATACCCTACATGTCTCGGTTCCCAAATCAAGGGAAACAATTACCAATTCAACCTCAATAGTCGTGTCATTAGAGACATTTAGAAATGCAAACCAGTTAAGAGTTCCATCCACATATACTCCATCACCACGATGCATAGCCAGAAGATCGGGAAAACATTCAAGGTACCTCCAACAACCATCACCATTGCAATAAACATTCACCCAGTGATTTTTGTGACTTGTCCTTAGTATCATAACCCAAATTCACTATTACCACCTTGTAAGTGTCGTTTATTGGATCATAGCCAAACCCAAAATTTGTAAACACAATCCCAAAATCGCTGTAGGGAGAGGGAGGAGGCGGTGACATTTCTGATCTCAACCTTGTGGCCATGTTCCACAAATAGAACCCTCCTTTTCCCAAACGGGTAAACACACAAAGCAACTCATTGCAAGAACCTATGACTAAGTAGTTGAGATTCCTGTTGGGATTTTCTATCAAACAATAATTGTGTCTAATCACTTGTTATTATCTATATAGAATAAAAATTACAACACAATTATAGAATTTATTGTTAACCCATACCCCAATTTATGATAAAAATAGAATACAGAAGTGTACCTAAATTTGTCATTGGGAATAATGAAGGTTATGAAATTGACAACAGGTATTTGATCTTCCAAATGTAGAGCACTTTAGATTTTCCTTATGAGATTTCTCTTCTGATGGGGATGAAGAGAGAAAAGAACTATAATTGTACGTGTGTTATTTGCTCTATAAATGGGAACCATAATCCCTGTATTGGTAACTCAGTTACCCAAAATTGATAATTATAATTTGGCCCCTCATCAAATTATAATATCACTAAGGGTATCTACACAATTAACCTTTCATGACATATATGCCCTTAGCCATAAACTTATATTAATTAGATTACTTTAATATTTTGGCTAATAAAATAATGGCCCTAATACGTTTAAATTATGTAATATATATGTATGACCAAAAATTGCTAACAATCTCCCACTGGTCACACATATATATCCTTATAGTCCTTATAAATGTGTTAGACTTTATGAGCTCAAAATTTGCCATTACATACCTTCAGCATATTCCAAAAATCTCGTCCATTGATTACATCAACACATATAACCAAAACAGTTTTCATTGTATCAATCACAATTTAAACCCATCAATTATTACTAATGCTGACAGAATCAAATGACATAAACTCATCATGAAATGTGTAGCATGAAAATTACGTAAAGGTGGCTTGTACACGTCTATTTTCAACTGGTCCTACTTTACCTCAATGAGGATATGCTATCATGGAGTTTGTCCCTAAGTGTTCTATGAAAATCTGTCCACTCTATATCCTTTCCTTAATACCTAGGAACTTGATGTCAATATGCTTTGACTTGGTTGAGCTCTTATTGTTGTTAGAATACAATACAGTTGATTTGTTGTCACAATATAACTTAAGTGGTCTTTCAATTCCTTCCACAATTTGCAGCCCTGTGACAAAATTTCTCAGCCATATTCCATGATTTGATGCCTCATAGCATGCTACAAATTTTGTTACCATAGTGGATGAAACAGTAAGGGTTTGCTTGGCACTATGCCAAGAAACTGCACCACCAGCTAACATGAAAATGTAACCTGAAGTGGATCTCAAACTATCTTGGCATTTTGCAAAATTCAAGTCAGAATACCCAGTGATCTCCAACTGGTTTGACCTCTTGTATGTGAGCATATAATCCTTTGTTCTCTTCAAATACCTCATAACCCTTTTGGCTGCTTTCCAATGATTCATTCCTGGATTGCTTAAATATCTGCCTAATACTCCAACTATGTATGCTATATCTGGATGCGTACATACTTGGGCATACATCAAACTCCTTACAGCTAATGCATAGGAAATCTTCTGCATTTCCTGAATTTCCAAATTTTCTTTTGGGCACTGTTTGAGACTGAACTTGTCTCCCTTAGCAACAAGGGTATCCCCTACTTTACATTCCTGCATGCCAAATCTTTGAAGTACTTTTTCGATATAGTTCCTTTGTGATAATCCAAGAGTACCCCGCGATTGATCTCGATGTATCTGAATTCCTAATACAAAGGAAGCGTCACCAAGATCTTTCATTTCAAAGTTTTTGGACAAAAATCTCTTGGTTTCATGCAACATGCCTATATCATTAGTGGCAAGCAGTATGTCATCAACATATAAGACCAAAAAAATATACTTTCTCTCGCTGAACTTTTGATACACACAATCATTAACAAGGTTCATCTTGAAACCAAATGAGAGAATAACTTACTAAAATTTGTGGTACCATTGACGAGATGCCTGTTTTAGTCCATAAATGGATTTTGTCAGTTTGCAAACCATATTCTTTGGGTCTCTTGACACAAAGTTTTCTGGTTGCAACATATAAATTGTCTCATCAATGTTGCCACTGAGAAACGTTGTCTTGACATGCATTTGATAGAGCTCCAAATCATAATGTGCGACAAGAGTTATGATTGTCCTAAAAGAGTCTTTCGATGAAACTGGAGAGAAAGTCTCTTTAAAGTCAATCCCTTCCTTTTGGGCATAACCCTTCACCACAAGACAAGCCTTATACATTTCCACATTACCTTTGGAATCTCGTTTGGTCTTAAATATCCATTTGTAACCAATGGGTTTCACACCTTCTGGTAATGGAACAAGTTGTCAAACTTTATTATCTTGCATGGACTTGTACTCCTCATTCATTGCTTCAATCCACTTTTCTGAATTGGAATCTTGCATGGCTTGATGAAAGTTGACTGGATCATCTTCTATCATACCATTATTTTCCTCATATTCCTGAAGAAATACTATGTAATCATTTGGCATAGCACTTCTTCTATCTCTAGTGGATCTCCACAAAGGCATTGGCTCATAATGCACAGGTTCTTGAGGATCTTGAATTTGTTCTTCATGAACAACCAAATCATTTTGAGTAAGGGGTTCAATAAAAATGTCTTGTAGAGGTTCCGAACTTGCTTTATCAAAAGCAATTGTTTGAATCGGTTCTGGAATTGTTACCGATTCTTCCTCAAAGACAAAGTCCCTAACCTTATTCTTCCCCCCAAACTCAATATCTTCAAAGAACGTGGCAGTTCCCGTCTCAAAAATTGTCTTTAGCCTGGGATTATAAAATTTATAGCCTTTGGATCTTTTAGAATAACCAATAAAGTAGTTGCTCACTATTTAGGAGTCCAATTTCTTTTCATTCAGCCTATAAGGCCTTGCCTCAGCTGGACATCCCCACACATGAAAATGTTTCAGACTAGGCTTTCGCTCAATCCAAAGCTCATAAGGCTTTTTGGCAACTGCCTTTGTTGGCACTCTATTTAGAATGTAAGCTGTAGTCTTTAGTGCCTCTCCCCAGAGTGACTCTGGTAAGGTAGAATGACAGATCATGCTCCTTACCATATCCTTAAGAGTCTTATTTTGTTTTTCAGCCACACCATTCATGCTAGATGACCCTAGCATGGTGTACTGTGGGACGATTCCACATTCCTCTAGGTACTTGGCAAAAGGCCCTGGACGTTGTTCACCTGAACCATCATATCTGTCATAGTATTCACCACCACGGTCAGATCTGACACTCTTGATTCTTTTGTTGACTTGATTCTTAACTTTAACTTTAAATGTTTTGAAAACATCCAGAGATTGTGACTTTTCATGTATAAGAAATAGGTATGCATATCTAGAGTAATCGTCTATGAATGATATAAAATATTACTGACCATTCCAAGAAGGTGTAGGAAATGGCCCACAAATGTCTGTATGTATCAACTCTAAGACGTCCATAGCTCTATACGCACCTAATTTCTTTGATTTGGTCTGTTTACCTTTAACACATTCAACACAAACATCAAAGTCTGTGAAGTCAATGGAATCCAAGATCCCATTTGACACAAGTCGTTCAACTCTCTTTTTAGAGATGTGACCTAGGCGCCTGTGCCATAATGCTCCTGAGTTAATATTGTCAATTTTACGCTTAGTACCGCGTAATTCTGCATTAAAGAATTCACCATAAGAAGCTACAGTATCAAGTAAATATAGATTATCATAAGCTAAAAGTGAACCAGTTCCAACAATATCTGAATTAAAAAACAACATAACCATATGGTTTTCAAATGAACAAAAATAACCTGATTTGTCCAAATAAGAAATCGAAACCAAATTTTGTCTAAATGACGGTACAACTAAAGTGTCTTTCAAATCCAAATAAAAACCAGTACATAATAATAATCTAAAGTGCCCTATAGCTTCCACTTCCACCGATTTGCCATCTCCAACATATATCCATCTTTCAGAATCAATTGGCTTCCGATAACTTAGGCAACCCTGCATTGAAACACTGATGCTAGTAGTTACACCTGAATCTAACCACCAAGTGTTTCTAGGTACTGAAGGTAAATTGACCTCAGAACAGACCAAAGTAAGAAACATACCTTTTCTCGCACGCCAAGCATGATATTTGGTACATTTCTTCTTTACATGTCCAGACTTACTGCAAAAGAAACAGTTGTCACCCTGATTTTGTTTCTTTTGTGTTGGACCCTTAACAGCTTCATTCTTAAAGTCTTGAGTCATCTTTCTTTTGCCCTTGTCTTTAGAGGTACTCACAAAATGGGCACTTTCAGTCCTTTCTTGCTTCATTCTTTCCTCTTCTTGTACACAGTATGAAATGAGCTCATTAAGAGATCATTTCTCCTTCTGATAGTTATAAGAGATCTTAAACTGACTAAACTGTGAAGGTAGAGAAATCAACACTAAATGAATAAGCAAGTCTTCTGACAGCTCAAGCTTTAGTGCCCTTAATTTTGAAGCAATATTTGACATTCCCATAATGTATTCCCTTATATTTCCTTTGCCTTGATACTTCATGGAAATCGAGTTCTGAAGAAGAGTACTTGTTTTCGCCTTATCGCTTTTTGCAAAGCGCTTTTCAATTTCAGCAAGGAATTCTTTGGCACTTGTTATATCATCTGAAACAGTACCCCTAAAGACCTCAGGAATGTCACACTTAATGATCATAAGACTCATGCGATTTGAGTGATCCCACTTCTCATGAAGTTTCCTATGTTCAGAGGTACTAAAATCTGTAAGAGAAGAGGGTTTCTCAATCCTTAATGCAAGGTCTAGATCCGTGCAACCAAAAATAATTTATATGTTCTCTTTCCAGTCCTTAAAATTTGTACCATTAAGAACCGAAACTGAATTCATATTAGCAGATATATAAGCAACAACTGAAAAGAACAAAGCAAACAATACAATTATGCTCACATTATAATAAAATCCAATCATCAATATGTTCAAATAATGGCATAACCCATCTCAAGATACCTGGTGCATCATTAATATCAAGTCTTTGGACAGTAATATTAATTGCTAGTGGTACACTTGTTGTAATGATCAAACATTGATAATAAAACATGTCAAACAATAAACCTATCTTTGGATTGATTTATCATTCACAAGCAAAGCCTCATAATTATCACATGTTTACTATCACAGGTGTGCATGCAATCCGGCCAATATTAATCTTCCTTTAGACCAATTAATACTCGCATGGATAAACATACATACTAACTTTTAACATTTCTTATGAATAATCTACACAAGAGCTATCACTTTGATGATTTCTTAATTCAATTAGCTCATTTAAAATATTAAACTTTGGTTTAAAATATATAAACAATAACCAAAATTTGAATATTGATATACCAAACTCAAAAAAGAAATTTTGTATAATTTCAAAGTAACCTAATTCGAGGATTATGATAAGCATTAAAAAATAAATAAATAAACTTCCATACGATTTCAATGCATCTCTGTACGATTTCAATGCACAGAACATATTTAATGCATCATATATGTTCAATTTGAAACCATGTTCAATACGCAAAATTAAAACTAACATTCAATACGTAATCAGCGTATAATTTCAAATTGAGATCAATAAATCATACATCATATTCTCCAATCAATTTAGATGAAATCGAATCACTGTGTCATATTCAAATTGAAATCAATAAATCATACGTTATATTCAAATTGAAGTGCGACAACAGTGTTTAAATGAAACCTAAATGCATATCGTCACATTAAACATTGAACAGAAACTCAAATGCGCAGCGTCAACCATAAGATCAATTTGATAAATAATTATCATTACAACTCAGAATTATGAAAAATCAATAAATCCCAATGTGGAACCTTAATTTTAAAACTTCCAAAATTATAAATTAAGTATAGGTTGCTCTTATAGAATTTTCTATCAAACAATAATTGTGCCTAATCACTTGTTATTATCCATATAAAATGAAAATTACAGCACAATTATAGAATTTATTGTTAACCCATACCCCAATTTATGATAAAAATAGAATGCGGAAGCGTACATGAATTCGCTATTAGAAATAATAAAGGTTATGAGATTGATAATGAGTATTTGATCTTTCAAATGTAGAGCACCTTAGATTTTTCTTATAAAATTTCTCTTTTGATGAGTATGAAGAGAGAAAAGAACTATAATTGTACGTGTATTACTAACTCTACAAATGAAGACCATAACTCTTGTATTGGTAACTGTCATCGAGTACCCAAAATTGATAATTATAATTTGACCCCTCATCAAATTATAATATCCCTAATAGTATCTATATAATTAACTTTTTGTAATACATATGCTCTTAACTATAAACTTATATTAATTAGATTATTTTAATATTTTAGCTAATAAAATAATAGGTTTAACACATTTAATTTATATAATATATATGTATGGACATAAATTGTTAACAATTCCATCCACAAATAATATCTCTAACAGTTAATGGGTGATCTAGAAAAGAACGCATAGAACATGACACTTCTCTGTGTTCATTGAAATCGCTGAAGTGAGATTTTAGCATTAGGTGGATACGTGTCCAGTCCTCGTTTGTATTAGACATACGAAGGTGCAATTTGACGAAAAATGATTGGGATAATAACGAGTTCCATGACTTGCACACAGATTTGAATCGGATAATGGATTTCACAGTAACACATGACAAGATTTCTACAGTGAGTTCGTCAATGAGGACTGGCGACCTTGCACCACGCATCGCCGATTTCATGCTGTCGTGCCTTTTGGTGATAGTGACTTTCTTCTTATCAGTATTACTGCAATTTTGTAACTAAACATGCTTATACATCTCTATTATATTTATGCTTTTTTTTAACAGTATATAAAAATAGAAAATTTTGATTAAAAAATATACTTATTATATTAATGAATGATTATCTTAACATCTTTCTATATCATCGGTGCATTTCAATATTAATTTATAAAACAGCTTTTTAAATGTGTATGGAAAGGCACATACGATTTTATGTTTATTAAATTCTTATTAAAAATAATAGGATATAAAATATTGAAATTATTAAATATTGTGTTTTTAATAGAAAAAATTAATTTATTAGTTTTTTATATATTAGACATGCATTAAAAAATTTATTTATAAGAATTAAAAAATATTAAGGAAATTTTTTATCATTAAATTAAAAAGCTAAATCAAAAGTAATATGAGTGATTAATGAATGTATTTTAACATGAAATTTGATATGCAATTTCTTGGGAAGAATATTTGACTTTAATTAATGCGTACTTAAATTTATGATATATAAACGAAAAATTCATTGAAGGGTACGGAAATACTAAATTTTCTTCTACCCTTATTTTAATAACATTTTTATTTCCTTTTATTTATTTACGTTATAAAATTAAAATTATAAAAAAAAAAATTTAATCACCTAAATCAAAATTTTGACAAAAAGAATAAAATTAAAAATTCAGCATAAACTCAAATAGAGTTGACTCACAGTGCAGTCAATTCTCTGAAAACAAAGGGAAGGGGAGCTGTTAGTAGACTTCTTAGAGTACTTTCAAATGGCGATTGTTTCGTTAAAATTTGATAATCTTTTATGATCTAAAAGTTTCTATTTGGAAAAAAAAAAAAAAAAAAAAAAAAAAAAAAAAAAAACCAAATCAATGGCATTTTAAAAAGGGAAAGAAAAAAAAAAGGGAATTTATGAAACATGGAGAAAGGGAATTAAACCAAAACGGAAACTGTGAAACAAGGAGGAAGGGAACTGAACCAAAAAGGAGGAGTGTCAAATTAAAAAGAATCTGAAAACAGAAGAAAGAAGATAATAAAAAAGAAACTGAAACTCTGTTACACCCCGCACTATCTTAAACGTCATAATTTTTTAAAAACAAATTTAATTTTAAAATAAAATTTTATAAATATATATAATTTGAATTAACAAACTAATTTCATAGTAATTTTTATAAAACTAACAAAGTAAAAGGTAAAGGCTACGCTCAATCAGTAAAATAAGCGACTGATAAATAAGTTAGCAAAATGATTTGTTATAATGGGTTTTAAAATTTTAAATATTTAATTTTGCAAATAAAGAATCTCAATCTCTTAACTATTTAAAATGAGTTCATCTTTAACATAAATTTTTTTTTAGATTAAGAAAGAACATAATTATTTAATCACGCGAAACTATATCATATTTTCTCAAACTCACTCCCATTTTTAGTTGTAGAGATATTAAAGATTTTGTTTTGTGCTTCTAATATAAAGTTCAATGATAAATTGAGTGACTATGGTTGAAATTTTTTTGATAAAAGTTTAAAAAGATAAATCTAAAGCAAGAGATCTAATGAAGTCATATAATCCTCTTTGTAGTAGAAGCTTTATTCAATTTCTCTTTCTTTTATTTCAATTCTTTCTTATTTCTCCTCCTTGGTAATATGCAAACCTATTTTTCACATCTAACTTAAACCTTAGACCTACATAACTACTTTTCCTTTGGATTGTTATACTTTCAAATGTAAGAATTTCTTATTTGAAAACATTATATACTCATACCAATTATTTTAAAAATCATTATTTTTGTTTGATCAGAATAGAGATAATAACTAAAGATATTTTGTTGAATCAGAAAAAAATACAAAGAATTCACTTCGCTTTAATTTTCACTTAAGCTAAAGTTATCAGCTTAAGCTAAATTTAAACAAAGATGAATCTAAATTTTTCGTCAAATTTGTTTAAACTAACACATATTTGCTTAAGTGAATCAAAGATAGAGATGAATCTAAATTTTTCATCAAAATTAGCTTAAGTCATAATCTACAGCTTAAGCGAATTATGTTCTGCTTAAGTAGAAAAAAAATTATAATTTTTGCTTAAGCAAAAAAACTCAGCTGTGAATGTTGTAGAATTTGTACGATGAAAAAGCGATTATTATATAGGGAGAACACGCGAGAGATCTAAAAAAGCATTGAATAATGTATCAATACAAAACATCATTTTCATGATGAATTGAGACTGTAAGAGTAGTTGTAAAAGTTTTAATTCTTAAAATTATTAACTTTATAAATAGAGTTTGTGGAGAATTCTAAACATCTAACATAACATTTAAAATTTTATGAATTCAAAAGTTATTTTTTATTATGTATTCAAATTACATTTGAATGCATATATGAATACATATTTTCTTAAAATAAGATTAGAAAATCCAGAATATACAAAGGTAAAGAGAGAAAAAATATATCGTATAAAGTTTTAAAGACAAAAAACAGTAATAACTTTTAAAATTATCAAACAAAAGATTTTGAAAGTTCAAAGAAAAATTTTGAAAAAATTTATAAAGGATTAAATGATAAATATATTTAAATTTGTATTATTAAATTATAGATAAAAAATCTTAACCGTTTATAAATTTTAAAATACATCTAATGGTTTAAAAATGATCACTCACTTATAAATCATTTACCTTGCTAACTCATGTTAATCTCCACCAAAGTAAATACTAAATCCATTGAGCTAATAAAAATTTTTTAATACATTTTTTTAAATATTAATTAATATTTTAGTAAATAAATGAACAGCATCAGGTATTAAAATTAATTTCTATCTCAATTAAACAAATCTGGCGCTCATGCTTGAAAAACAATCACTTTAGGTTTCTTTTTTAATAAAAAAAATTCCTCAAAAGGATGTCAAAAAGATAATTATTATTTTAAAATAAAATGCAGCATTCAGATGCTTACTTGAACGAAAACTTTTACAAAAAGATATTATTTATTTTATTCAATTATAATTATTTATTATCGTATTCATTTATATTAAATTACGTCGAATGAAAAATATAAAATAATAAATAGTGTTATATATATATATATATATATATGTATATATATATTAATCAAACATATATTATGTTAATTTTATTATATATAAATAGAGTATTAAAAAATTTGATATAAAATTTTGATTAA